TGTGGATTTCTTTAACAAAGCCACTGCTTTAGTGCATTTTCTCGGTCCAGAGGGGATGTCTGTGTGGTTACAAAGCAGTTCAACCTAGCCAGGTTAGACTAACCTGCAAAGATTGAATCAATTCAGGCTCAGGCTTTTTGAATGTCTGTCTCTGTCCTAAGAGTGCAGAATTGGACAGAGGAAAGGAAAGAAATAAAAGACGATAACAGTAGTTTTCCTCTGACTTCTATCAGTTTTGCTTCCCATCTCACCATGCATCATCTGTGATATTTTAAAATATCAGTACAGATGCATACTGTGGAACCTGTACAAGAGACCAGCCTTATTTGGTGAACACACGCCTTAATCAATCTTTTAAACGTTCCTAAATATACACAGTGCAGGTCCACTCTAGCAGAAGACCACCTTTCTTAAGCAGTGGAAGCTTCAATCCTTTGAATGGTTTTGTATGACTAGTCTCAGTGTATCTGATAAGAATGGTTTCATGGCATTTTTCCCCTCTTTTTCCAACAGGACAAATACCTTCATACAAATTGTCTGGCAGCCTTAGCAAATATGTCAGCACAGTTCCGTTCACTTCATCAGTATGCTGCTCAGAGAATCATCAGGTAAATATGAGCCTTTGAAAAAATATTTAAATTAGCCTGTGCCTAAGTTCAGAAGGAAAAGGACCTGAATTTTCTGTGGCTCAATACATATAATTAAAATAGATAACTGAAATTGGAATTAAATTGGACTTTTACTTTCCCTCACGAAGTTGTGGCTCAGTTTCAAATAAGTGAAAATATGAATCTTCTGACTTTTTATGTTCTTCATAGAACAGCTGTAGGAGTTGCTTTTAAAGTGATTGTCTGTATTACTTTATTTTTGTCTCTTGTTCTGTTATTACAAACGTGCAACGGGCAATTATTTTCCAGAATGCTGCTTTCAGTTTGGGTATATTTCTGCTTGCCTGGATGACAAAGGACCTGTTTTTTAAGTTTGACGAAATGTAGTCTCTTCTTTGCATGAGGTCTTATTAAAGCTGTTACATTTACTTACCTTATTTAAAAGTTTAAAATATCAGCCTTTTGAGTAACGAGTTAGCTCATATGCTGTTAAAAGGGTCACAGTTTTCATAAAATCCTAGATATAGAAGATGGGAAAGATAATCTTCAGAGTTCACCACATAACAGCGAGAGAGAGAGGTATAAGGGTAAGCAACAGTATAGGACACCTGTTTATTTTAGCAGCTAATCCAACTTGGTGCTCAAAAGAAAATAAATATGTCCTGTACAGTACAGTTTTGCTAGCAGGGGGCAAAATTATAATGCTTATTAAATATAGACTTTATGCACACAAAAATGTCCTTACTTAACAAGTATGCAGGAGTATAGTTTGTAAAAATTCATATTTATGAAAATAGGTATTTCCTTTAAATAATGGTTCCAAGGGGTTGATTTCTTAGGCCTCTCCTGTTTTTGAAGTGCTTTATTCTTTTGCAGTAGGACTGGAAGAGGCCTACTGAGCCATCGTGTATAGTCCTTTGAGTTTGCATGTAACCGTTTGTCTACAACAGCATCCATTCTGGCCTCTCTTGCACACCACATCATAGCCACAAAACACCTGGTAAAAAAAGAAAGTATTATAAAAAGAGAGCAAGAGAGAAGGCAGCAACAGTGCCATGTAAAGGAATTCAGTATATTAGGTCAGGGATACTCAAATGATCTCAGGAAGGGGACCACTGCTGTACTACAGGAGAAGGCAAACCTTCCCCCTACAAAAAAAGACAAAAAATCAAAACAACACTGACACTAAAAAGAAAATCCCCTTAAGAGCTCTTATCAATATGATTATGGAAAAAACTCCTTCCTAACCCCATATCTGGCAGTCAGGTTGACCCTATGCATGTAAGCCAGATCTATCAGCCTACATGGGAGCTGCTAGGAGCACCTCCCTTATACAGGTAACCCACCCAGAAGCCAACTTCCCTTTCAGCCTCTCGCGGGGATGCTGGATGTGCTGTCACTTATCCTATACTTTTATGACTTTCATCTTGAAGGAATGCAGGCTCCCTGCCCCACCATTTTGCCTGGAAGATCATTTCAGAACATCACATTTCTAATGTGTATATATTGTCTCCAGAGTTGGTTCACAATCAGTTTCTATCCATTTGATCTTGCACCTATATTGTCCTTTATGTTAAATAGCTCTGTGATGCTGTTTGAATCCCTTACTGATGAAAATACCTTCCACCATCATCTCCATGCTTGACACCAGTCTTTCTTTCATACCCAGTGATAACAGCCTAAAATAGGTATCCACTTTGCATTTTGAATGGCCTTACTTCCAGTGTCTATCATGTCTGAAACTCAGTCTGTCACCTATATGTGAAGCAGTCTTAAATAGCTCCCTTGCTGTCATTCTTACTCATTTCTCAATTCCTGGTCTCTTTAAGGGTGCCCACCATTCACACTTACCAGTATGTTTCCTCCAGAGGATCTAAGTCAAAATTTGCAGGTGTCAAACAGTACTGTTACTCACAGATGCCTTTGGTAGAGGGTATATATTTAATCCTCAGAATTTTTTGTGGCTTGTAATGCTTTTCAGAATATGTTGTTAATGAACTTCTTCATGCTTCAAAATTCTCCCTAGAACTGGCTTTCCTATGCTTCTAGCTGGGGCAGTCATCCCTTTCTATCCTCTAGCTGCTTCTTTTTTTACACCCTTCATTTTAAAATGCTTTTGCTACATTATAGCCAATTAATGCTTCCCCTGTTTGTGAAAACCTTTTCCTTAGTGGGCACTGGATCCTTCTCACAGGCTGTCCTCACCATCTGGAACAGCATCTCTGAGGCAGATTGCCTCCCTGATGATGTTTCTTAAATCTCATTTCAAGACCCAGGCAAGGACATGCAACACAATTAAATCCTCTTGAGTTGTTGCTGATTGACAATAAACTATGAAGTGGGAGGTGGGGGGTTGTGTTTCATCTTCATCTATTTTGTCATGTATAGGTTTCCCTTGCCAACCTCGGGTTTGCCAACCATGGTTTTGAGTATCCATGCTTCAGAGAAGGGGGGAGTACATTTGGAAAATACCCCACCATGCCCCAATAGCCCTGCTGGTGCCTCTCACTCCCCGCCCCCCACCCCACCCCCAAGCCTTGCCGGTGCCTCTCACCCACAGCCCTGCTCCCCCAGCCCTGCCGGTTTTGCCAACCATGGAAACTTTGGGGAACCTAACCCCTGTGGTTGGTGAGGGAAACCTGTATACTGATACTGCCTGTGATATATTTACTTGCTTTTATTTGTGAAGGATAATTATTCCATATTCTTATCTGGGAGATATGATACAAATATTGAAGTGTCTTGTTCCTCTTGGATGGCTACAGAGAATGTGTGTTTGGATTTGTTTTGCTTAATTCAGAAAACAGCAAGTTTTTTGTCATGTTTAGATGAAGCATATCAAGCTGTATGTCACAGACTAGTCTTGTATGAAGTCCATACAGTTAAAACCACATTTTAAATACTGTGCCCGGTACTGTTTTATGCAGAAATAAAAATGGAGGAGTTAGAGATATCAAAGAAGGTAATGTAGACAATGGAGAAAACATTTGCTTTTTAAAAAGAGCATAAGCCATTTTTCTCCATTTGTACAGCATCTCATGTGGTGGGTCTCCTTGGCTCAATGGTGATGTAAGCAACAGCAACAAGTTCACAAGTACTTTGGCTTCAGTGAGAGCTTTATCTGAGTAAAAATTGCAGGACTATACCTGGAATGTCGGTGATCTTTGGTACCAAGCAGAAAATTGTTCAACTACAACTGCCACTAAATTCAAAAGCTTTTGAAGGGGAGGAGATGGTTACTTTCAATCCTGTTGAGGTGCCATCAGGTTTGGGGCCACACTTACTAGATAGAAAGTTTAAGAGGACAAGTTTATTGCAACAGTGCGAGACAAGATGCAACAAATGAGTGTGAGCAACAATTCTAGACATCAAGGCAAAGGGGCACCACGAGCACCCGCTGGGGACTAACGTGTCCTAACACAAATGCCAGGAGCATGGGGAATAAGCGGGAGGAGCTCACATTCTTATTTGCTAGCACCCAGTATGACCTAGTCAGCTTAACAGAAACATGGTGGGATCTACTCATGACTGGGCGGTAGGTATTGAGGGGTACAGATTGTGTAGACAAGATGGTGTGGGTAAAAGGTGGGGGTGTAGCTCTCTGTTAGGGAGCAGTACACAACTTCCATTGTCAAGGCGGGGGTAGAGGAGGGGAATACCGAGGTATTGTGGTTCAGGATGGAGGGGGGTCCAGGGGAAAATGACTTGGTAGTGGGGGTCTACTACAGACCTCCTCATCAGGATGATGAGCTAGACCTGGTATTCTCCAAGCAGCTCTCAGAGGCTGTTCAGGCAAGAGAGGCAGTGGTCATGGGGGACCTAAATTACCCGGACATCTGCTGGGAGGAGCAGACGGCCAAAACAAACCGCTCACGTAGGTTCTTAAACTGCATGCAGGACCTCCATCTAACCCGGGAGGTGTCCAGTCCCACCAGGGGTAATGCCTTGCTAGACCTGGTCTTAGCAACAGGGGATGATCTTGTGGGTAACCTGTGAGTGCACAGTAACCTGGGAGATAGTGACCATCATTTGGGTACAAGTCAGCAGGCCCGGATGACCTCTATCCATGGGTGCTGAAGGAATTGGCTAGTGTCATAGCTGAGCCACTGGCACGGCTGTTTGAGCACTCATGGTGCTCCGGCCAGGTCCCTGAAGACTGGAAAAGGGTCAACGTGGTGTCTATTTTTAAGAAGGGGAGAAGGGATCAGCCAGGTAACTTTAGACCAGTCAGTCTTACCTGTATCCTTGGGAAAAAGCTGGAAAAAATCATTAAAGAGCGCATTCATGAAAGCCCAGCGGGGGAAATGATGCTGAAAGGAAACCAGCATGGGTTCATCATAGGTAGATCCTGCCTGACAAACCTTATAGCCTTTTACGACCAGGTCACACACTGCCTTGATGCTGGAGCTAAGGCTGATGTCATCCACCTGGCCTTCGATACAGTTTTGCATCCTATTCTCTTAAGGAAGCTAGCAGGCTGTGGAGTGGAGGCTTACACAGTCACGTGGGTGGCCAACTGGCTTAGGGACCGCATCCAGAGAGTGATGGTAGATGGGTTGTTTTTGGCCTGGAAGGAGGTGGGCAGTGGTGTCCCGCAGGGTTTGGTCCTTGGACCGGTGTTATTTAATATCTTCATCAGCGATTTGGACGAGGGTGTGGAGAGCACCCTCTCCAAGTTCACAGATGACACCAAGTTATGGGGCAAAGTTAACACACCGGAGGGCAGGGAGCAGATACAGGCTGATCTGGACAGGTTGGATCAGTGGGCAGAACGAAATAGGATGCAGTTCAACAAAGATAAACGTAAGGTACTCCACCTAGGGAGGAGGAATCCCCAGCACACCTACAGGTTGGGGGATGTTCTCCTCAGCAGCTTGGCGGCTGGAAGGGACCTTGGAGTCATAGCTGACTCCAAGATAAACATGAACCAGCAGTGTAACGAAGCCATCAACAAAGCCAGTCGCACCTTATCGTGCATTAGCAGATGCATGACCAACAGATTGAGGGAGGCGATGCTCCCCCTCTATGCGGCACTGGTCAGGCCGTAGTTGGAGTACTGTGTCCAGTTTTGGGGCTGCACTTCAAGAGGGATACGGAGAATCTAGCAAGGGTCCAGAGGAGGGCCATTCATATGATTAGTGGCCTCCGTGCAAGACCCTACAAGGGAAGGTTGAGAGATCTGGATCTCTTCGGCCTTCACAAAACATCTGAGGGGGAGACCTTGTAGCCGTCTATCAGTTTATCAAGAGAGGACAACAGGGTATTGGTGATGCGCTATTTACTAGGGCACCCCTAGGAGTAACTAGGAATAATGGGTACATACTAGTGGAGAGTAGATTCAGGTTAGACATAAGGGAGACATTTTTCACAGTAGGTCTGGCCAGAATCTGGAATGGGCCTCTAATAGAGGTGGTACTATTACCTAACTTGGAAGTCTTCAAGAGGAGGCTAGATAGACACCTGGCTGGGGTCGTTCTGACAGGGGCTGGGGGTCGGACACGATGATCATTTGTGGTCCCTTCCGACTCTGCAATCTATGAATCCATGAAACAATTGGAGAATAGGAAGTAAAGACAAAAGGGTAACAGGAATAATGTCCTGCTTTTTTTTTTACATAGTCTGTTCTAAATTAGTGTTTTAAACCATTGCCCCTGTATAAACATTGCTGTTACTACATAATAAGAGAAGAGGCAATGAAAATAGCTGAAATTTTAAATCAAGTATAAAATACAGCGTAACATCCTGGGCAGGTTGAGGTGCTGAATTATACTTAACTCTTGTAGCCCAGATAGATATGAAAGGTATATCCTGTGATTCAAAATATTACAGACTGCTGAAAAGTAGGTTTGACCACAATAGGTAGCTGAGAAACTGCTACAAGCACTGTAGCAGCAAACAGCAATGACTCTTCAGGGAGCCAAACTGTCATGAAGGAAGGTTTTTAAACAGATTTTTTTTTTTAGTTTTACGAAGAAAGTCATTCTTATTATCTAGAACAGGCGTGGCTAACCTACAGCACTGCTGGCACAGGCAGCCTCTGTGTGGCATGTGGCAGATGGGAGAGGAGATGGGCAGTAGCATGGCAGATAGGGCAGGATACAAAGCAGACTGGGCAGGGAGGACAGGGAAAGAAGTAGAAAGCCGAGTAGCAGATAAAGCAGGGGTAGGAGATTAGGGTGGTGCTTGAGGAAGGTGCAGGGCTAATTTGTGGCATGCTTGCCAAAATGTTGCCCTGCGCTGATCTAAAATATCACCCACCAAGAGCAATAGTGGGAGCAAGTGTATACGAGAACAGTGAGTTATTTGAGTGGGTATTGGCTTTGTGTGGGTAGGAAAAGAGCAGATGGGCATACAGTTGTTTTTAGCCACTGTGATTAAACTTCCTGTTTCAGCACTGATGGGCTCAAACTGCTCCATGTTACCAAATTGTAAGAAAACAGAGTGATATTTATATTTAGGTTCTTATTCTGAACCCATCACCAGAGTACAAGCATCTCTGTGAGCGGAAATAAGCTATGGTATAAATAATAAAAATGCTTATGCTATGAGGGGCCAAGGAGAGAAGGGAGACAGGGCTATGCCGCTAAACATATATTTTAAAATATTGGATTTAAAACATAGTAGCTATAGACAACTTGACTTAAAATCTGCTTAGACATGCAAGCAAGCATGGTCATAGTTTGTTTTGGCAGATTCTGTAATAATTTTTCCTTAATGTGAGAACTAATTTACTTTCCGTGCAAGCTTTTTCTTAATCATCTTCTGAGTAGATACTTCTAATTGTTTTAAATTTTGAAGACTATTCTCCATTAAATACTGACTGAGAATGTCCAGGGTAGTTTGCCTAAGGTCCCAATAAATATAACTTGATAATATTGGATAATTTACATCTCATTCCTGCAGGCGTAAATTGACTGATTTGTGTAAATCTTTTTCATCACATGCAGCTGCTGGAAATAAAATTTGATGAAATAGATGCATGATAATAAAATCAGAGGCATTCATCCAATACAAGCTACATCCTCTTCAGGAGATGTGTGTGCATGTGCAGCCTTTCCCATTTTTATTATTCCAGTCTTTTTGTTTACAGGTTGCTATTAGTTCTACAGAGACTATTTTTGCAGTGGGATAGGGATAACGTCTCCTATCCACCTCTCATGAATTTGTAGGGTGCTGACAACTGTCGTATCTGGAATGATACGGTACTTTGTTTTAAAAAAAAAAAAAAAAAGCGTGGGTGTCATTATTGTCAGGTAACTGCCTGAACTGCTCAAACCAGCCTTGTAGTAGCTAGGCGACAAGACAATCAGCTGTGTGGCTACTACATAACCGCAGCCAGGGGAGCCTTTGTTTGCTTAGTTTACTGAGGCCTGTAGTTTCAAATGTATTTATCCTCCCTTATTCTGTGTACAGTTATTAGATACTAAAATTGCAAACTCAGTGAGTGTATTACTGCATTATTAGTATAATGTGGGTCACTTAAAGACCACAGCTCATCTGGCCACAATCTCATTGGCATGCTTCAGAGCAGTTTTGACTACTACCTGAAGGCTGTTTTCAATCGTTTGTTAGCCAGGGTGTGTACATGTAAAAAGTTTAAATTTGAATACCTGGATTTTAACCTCCCTAACCTATGTTGCACTGTACTGAATTGTCACAAAAGGAAGAATATGATCATTAACAGCAAGCATACAGACAGAGTATTATAGGATAAGTGTTTTGTCCTATATGCTGTCTCCTAAGTGCACACATGCCACTAGAGGTTGTCAGACACTTCTTTAATTGAACCCACGCACACACTTGCTAATTAATTTACAGAGCTCTAGAAGCAGTATCCATCATTCCTTGCACTCTCCCACCCTATCGCTTCGCCTACACACTCCCACCTGCTTGTACCAGTAGAGAGCTGTACTGGCTCTGCCAATCTGTGTTAATGAGAGAAATTGGGAACTTCAGAGTGAAATATAAAAGGGCGTTTTCCTCTCGCATATGTATAAAATCAAAGGAATGTTTTAACTTAGCTGAGAAAGTCAGTGCTGTAAATAGAAGGCAGGAAGGGGGATGGGCATAGCTTGAACAATTTACATCCATGAGAATTATATTGTCAGGCGAAAAGTCCAAGGTGATAGTGACTCTAGGTTAGCAGTAATTAGGCAATTCTCAACTTCCACAATTTGGATCACCAAAGTAGACTGTAACATGCTGGAGTTAAATTGCATCCCATCCTGGTTTTGCCCGGGTGGTAGTGATATAGAGTGGGGGTGGGCAATTATTTGGGCCTACGGACCTCATAGAAAGTTCTGGGAAGCTGTCACAAGACAGGTCAGCACCCCCCCCGCAGCAGCTTACCAAACCTCCCTATATGGGATGGGGCCACAGGCAATGGGGATCCGGTGTGGGCATGGATGATAGGTTCAGCTTCCAGCCTGCCCTTTTACCCTGAGGAGGGGCTTGGGCAGACTCTCTGATCCCTAGCAGGAGCCTGCTGGTTGCGTCCACAGTTGATGCCAGTGTTTGCCTGATACACAGGCCAGGAGCTGGTGTAAGCTGAGGGGATGTGCTGT